ATATATATACATATAATGATATAATAAGTAATTGATAAGTACATAAGCACATATATCGGGTTTCTTTCAAATGGGGGATCCCAAGTGACCATGGGTTTCCACACTCAAATGGTCTAATTTTGTGATTTGGGGTACCCCTATTCTAGGAAAACCTCCATGCAGGTACCATGAATCAATGGTTATCCCCGGCAACAGGCAGGGGCTTCCCAGAACTGAGGCGTGCACGTCGCAGGCACCTGTATTGCCGCAAGTCAGACCAAGCCTCAAGGCGGCGCTTTGTTTGAAAAGTTGGTGGATATCATGGGGTAACCCACCAGGTCTGTTTGGGCTTATTAAAACTCGAATTTCGAGTAATAAAATGAATAAAAATACTGCAGTAGTTTCATGGTTTATGCAATCTGAAATTCTTGGGGAAATCATGGGAAAGCCAACAATTTCAGAGGTTTGAGAAAGTAATGTTCCCTTTAAGAACGGCGAGATGCGCGGAAAAGTTCTGATCGGCTCACTATTTGGGGACCCTCCCTATTCTTAAAAGAGGGCTTTATTAATTCTGGGATGACATTAAAAAATTGTGGGCCACAGGCCCAGGTAAATGCTACTTTGCAGGTCTTGTCTGACAAACTTGCAGGGTAAACTAGGTAAACTATGTCAAACTGTCCACAATCAAGTACTTATGCACCGGATAATATGAAGTCCCAATCAACTGTTGCTTCATCAACAAGTCTTGGTGCTTTAGGAGCCCTTGTACACTGAGTATGCATGCACATATATAAATGCAAAACCGCTTTGGGTACATTCACCATCATGTATGGGATTGCGTCTTTGTGAGGTCACTATGGTCACTATATATTTGCTCTGACTCAATGCCCCCCAGTATCACAAGTGTCTAATATCCATATTGTACCGTGGCTAATGGAATATCCCCAGTTGTAGACATGTATTATTACTACTACTATTGTTGTTATTGTTAGTGTTATTGTTATTGTTAGTGTTATTGTTATTGTTGTTGTTATTTTTTATTAATCTATCTATTTATTAGATTTTACTAGTATTGTTAGTACTATTATTATATATTGGATATATGGGTTTAATCGGATATATAATAATAATAATAATGATAATAATAATAATAATATATTATGATGCCGGCGATGCACATCCACTCATGCCCCGGGCCTCGGGCCGCAACGCGTTGCGCTCTGAGACACCCCGGCTGACTTTTTCGCCCCAGCGACGAAGCGAAGAGCGCCGCTGTTAAAAAGGGCACCACTCTTCCTTTCGAGGATTAGCAATCCATGGGATGGATTGGTTGGGGAAATCTTCACCGGAAACCATGGTGTTTAGCATCAAATTTCATGGGGTTTCCGGTTTCAAAATTTTCCCATCATGAAAAAACTATGAATTATTGATTGATATTTTATTGGACCATAAATGGAACAAATGGGTGATAATTTTTATAACATATTTAACATTAAAATCTATAAATCCAATCATCATAATTGGATGATTGGATTAAAGATATAATTGGATTAATAATGGACTATACCTAGATTATAATTGTATTCTCTATGGACTATACAGTATACATGGATTATTGACAGACTATAAATCGATTATAAATGGAATATAAACAATACAATTGCATTATAATTGAATTGTAAAATATCATGATTGAATTACACATGGAATAGCGAAATTCAGAGTGGTGCACTTTCTTCTATCCTCAATCATTACTACCGGGCATGGGATGCTGAGGCTTTCATCAACCCCTAGCTTCACTCTCCATTATCCAACAAATGGGGAGAACAATCAACGGGACAGCAGAGCATAGCAGAGCCTCAAGGAATCATGTACCCCAAAACATAGTCTTGACCGCTCATTCTGAACATTGACCTGGCAATTTCCGGTGGCAATTTTCCCATGAAAAATCACCCATCTCTGACACACTCCGCCACAAGAAAGTCCCCAAAGACCGGCCGAGGCGTTGACGGAAAAGGAACATCCTCAGCTTCCCTCCTCTGTCAGCACCTCGGGAGGCTGAGCTTTACAGTCATCAAATAATCGAAACCCTGCGTCTGTCATCCCTTCATCCTATTATCACATACATATTATATTATATAATATTATATAATATATATGTATACACCTCCCAATCGAAACCGTGAGGAAATGTATTTGATCATGTTGGGCTCCCTCTTTATGGGGGAAAACTCTTTCATCTCAGTTGATCCAAACATGTCTTGAGGTTGGCTCGTGTCTCCTTGTGAGAGCCCGAAAACTGTTTGAAACATATGTGTATATATATATACACACATATTATGTGTATATATATAACATACTATTATGTATTGATAGATGCATTATATATCTATATCATATATGTGTTATATATATATATATGATTACATGTTATATGCTATATATGTATACGTGTATGTAGATATTTGTATATATATACTTATATAAATGGATTTCCCCTCTGTTGCTGAGGAATACACTCTTCTATCGGTCTGACCTCCGTAAAGCGCGACTCAGAGACTACCCCTGGGTAGGTCCAGGTAGGTTTGCAGGGTGGATCTTTTGCTGTTTTCAAGAAGCCGAACAATCCTGTTGGGAAGTGAGAGTAAACAAGGGAGTGCCATCGAACGAAATTCATGTTGTTGATACATTAGAGACATCTTTTCATATGGCAAAGTCTTCCACATCTTCTGCACTTCGACCAATTACCACATTTTGCATTTCCTGTCAAGTCCGTTCTATTTCTTACCCTCTGCTAAACGTTTACATAATGGGAAAATCACAACGCTATCAATGGGTAAATCCACTATTTCCACTGGGCCATTTTCAATCGCAAACTGTCAGTTAACCAGAGGTCAAGCCTCTGGGATGGGATGTGTATCCCTGGTAATGGAGAAAACCCAGTTGACCGAAGTCAGTATTTTGGGGTATCATAAACCATGCTCCCTACATGGCCGATTCTTGGCTGAAAATATAGACATGTTGGTTAAAAGTCCCTATCATATCCCAATTTTTGAGGATTAGATCTCCAAAAAATTCTTGGGTTTACCATGGTTTACCACATTTTTTCGCAGCCTTCAAAAAGATAGAAAAGAAGATAGAAAAGTAAAAAAAATGCCATAAAATAATGAACATTAAGTGATCAATCACTGTTCTATCGTTTGGATTCTTTTGGGGGTTATTATACCATATATGCACCTGTTCAAATCCATCACCAGCAACTTCTCGCCGGGCCCCTTGGCCCCTTGCGTAGTGAACGAGAATTAAGACGTACAGGCGCGCCCACCTCACATTCGTCACATTCGTCACATCGACATGCCCAGTTCATCGTCCTGGTGATCCCTGGGATCTAAGATTTAACATGGCCCAGTTCAATCAGTGTGCGATATAAATATGTATATATATATATAAATGAATATATATATATATGTTATATTATATATTATATATTATATATTATATATTATATATTATATAGTATATTGTATATATTATATATTATATATTATATATTATATATTATATATTATATATTATATATTATATATTATATATTACATATATTATATATTATATATCATATATTATATATTATATATTATATATTATATATTATATATTACATATTATATATATATAATATATATATATATATATATTATATATTATATATATATTATATATATTATATATATTATATATATATATATTATATATATTATATATATATATTATTTATATATATTATATATATATTATATATATTATATATATTATATATATTATATATATATTATATATATATTATATATATTATATATATTATATATTATATTATATATATAGTGATGTTCGATGATTTTCCAGTTCGCATTCCAGCGCGCGGCCTCAGGTTTTCGGGGGCACAGCAGCGGGCGATGTTTTCCGCTCGAGCCATCAACAAGGATGGGGATGGTCGATACATGCTGGTTGGTGGTTTCAACCCCTTGAACCTACCATTTGTTGGTAATCTACTGTTGATATTAATGGTTAATATTAATGGTTATAATATGGTTAATGATTCATGATGGTTAATAATGATCTGGTTGGTGGTTGAGCCTACCCCTCTGAAAAATCATGGAGTGCGTCAGTTGGGATTATGACATTCCCAACATGATGGGAAAAATAAAAAATGTTCCAAACCACCAACCAGATCCAACCAGCATGTATGCACCCGTATCAAGCAGCCGCCCTTACTTCCCTCATCCTCTTGGATTTTTCCCCGTCTTCAAGGCACAGTGAGTTGCCGGGGAGACAACAGTTACCCCACTCAGAATCCATTGGCACAGCCGCTTGGAAAGATCTTCTTTGCAAGCGGCCGAAAAGCGGACGAAAAGCGGACGGATCACACCGACTGATTTCTGGAAACCAAGCGTTTGAAGGTATGATTTGTGAACAATAAAATCGAACAATGGCACACAGCCGAAACCATGGCGTACAATGCATTTTCCATTGGCCGAGAGTCCGGATGTTGCCGCAACACATTGGGAAAGACAAAATGCATTTCTCGAGACATGGTCTAATGAGAAAAACAACTTTGCTACTTTGTTTGATTTCTTGCCGAAGTAAATCCGGCAAAGTTGTTTCCTAAGTTTCTTCTCCTAAATTTCCTTTTTGCTTAATCTGATAATTGCCACACATAGTACCCCTAGATAGCCTTAACTTTCAGCTCTTCCACTAGGCACAAAGACGTCAAACAACAAGGGGTGCTACCGGAGACAACTTAGTCTTTCCACTGTGTATTTTTACACCTAAGCAAATATCTACATAATTTCATAATATGATAATATACATATGTTTATACCAAAATATAAATTGCATATTAGCCAAAGCAACAGTAAACCATCCCCAAAATCACGATTTTTATGGGCGCTATAACCCATCCCCAAAGGGTTTATGGCAGCCAGGTTTCTCAGCTCCCCGTGTTCTCCCCCCGAGTTTTTTCACAGCGATGGCGATCGCGCACGCTTCGGCCCCTTCGTTGTCGTCGTTTTTCCTGCTTCGCCTGCACGGCTCAATTTTTTTGGGGCGTAGGGCATGGGAGTTTCAAACACATTTGATGGAGGTTTCAAGGGAAAAACATGGAAAAACCCGAGGAAAACCATAGGAAACCTCTTCGTCTATGGATATCTGTGGATGTTCCCAAGAAAAATGGTATTTTCCATGTGTGATTAGGGTATCTGGTTGGTGCTTGAACCAGCAATGATTTTTCCCGCAATCGTAGATGATTTACCCCATATATGTCTACACATCACGTATGTATGTATGTATGTATATATATATTCATATATACATATATTTGCATATATATATACATATTCATACAGTATATATAGTATGTGTATATATATATATAATTATTTACATTATATCGGGAGAACGTGTTTGGTCGCCCCAATGCTTTTGCTGATTAGAATGTGCTCAGTGTGTATACAGGTGAACACGAACGTTATTAGGGGGCTTGTGAAACGTGCACAACTTCTGTGACACGTGCACAACTTCTGTGAAACGTGCACAACTGCTGGGAAACATGCACAGCACAACATCTCTGAAACGTGCACATATAGAATACTTGAAAAGACTGGGTGGGGGCGATGAAACACGTTATACCCATATATATATACACAATTATATACACATGTACATGTTTGGATTGTCCCTTGCCACATTTGAGTACCCCTTGGGGTAAAGCCCCCATTTTCTCCCGTTTGTCCAATCCCCAGGTTTGCTTGTTGCACCCCCAAGCATGCAAGAGCCATAGAAAAAAATCACTGGTACAGCAATCAAAAAAGAACATGAAGTATAATGATGATAGTAAACATAATTATAATGATAAATTATAGTGATAAATAATAATATCAATCAATCAATATTGCTAATCATCGGTAATTACTAATATTAATCATGATGATAGTGACCCCCATTTGGATGGGGGACACCAGTCATTTTGCAACACAACTCCATCAGGCACCAAACTTTCTCTGCCGCCCAAATTCTGCGCAACGCAACCAGAAAATTAAGGGATTCAGCACATGTAAAATGCTTCGCACCCAATTTTGTACGTTAAATCCCAAATTCTTTGATGGTTACAAAAATAAACCCCATCCCCATTACATCCCCCGCCTGGGGGTGCATCCCAATTTCATTAGGAAGCCCGCTTACCAAGCGGGATGCATATCCAAGCCTGTATTGATATCCCATTATGTCCCAATCAATATTCCATTGATATCCCAATAATATTCCAAATATATCCCCAATATTCAAGCATGATACACTCCCGCAATTTAACAGCTATGTAAAATGGTCCATACATATCATACATGTACGCTTCACCTATATTTACTCAAAATGGTGATTTTCAGTTCCAGCCATTAGCTATAAATGGCTATGTTCAATTCCATACATGGTGATTTACCTGTATTGACCATTTAAATAACCGTTAAGGGTATATATCAATGGTCAAAAAAAAGTTAGGTTAATATAGGTAAATCATATTCTAAATCCCCATTTAAATCAAGTCCCCCAATGGCATTTAATATAGCCCCCCATGGAATATAGGTAGATTATGGTAAATCACCATTAACATTAAGTCCCAATATATATATGAATCATGGTGATATCAGTGATATCACCATTTAATTAACCATTTAATACCCCTCTGAAAAATGATGGAGTTCGTCAGTTGGGATGATGACATTCCCAATATGATGGGAAAGTCATAAAAGTCATGTTCCAAACCACCAACCAGATATCTGGGCAAATTATAATATTTCACTAACCTGAATTAAGGCCATTTGGGGATGATTTCCCATATAAAAACCATGATTTCCAGTGAGGGAGAACAGTGAGGTCGTTATAATTTACCCAGAGATATTACCCTCTGGTAATTTAACATAGCTATTGAAAATGGCCCATTTATAGTGAGTTTTCCCATTGAAAATGGTGATTTTCCATAGCTATGTTAGTTTACCAGAGATATTAGTTAGTCCCCCAATGGTGTTCATTCCTACATCTTTCGGGTAGATCTCCCAAGCCGCCTTTAACTTGCACCCGCGCTCGGCTCGCGCGCTCCGGAGGAGTTGGACCAGCCAACTGAGGAAGGCCATGGGGAATTCAACTGGGAAAACATGGATGATCATAGAAAACCCATAGGAAAATCATGGGAAAATCCATAGAAAACTTGGAACCAAAAATGGTGAAGAATGCGGGAAACCATGTCAGTTTGACCCGGCATTCAACCAGCAAAAAACTCTGGATGTGAGCCTCAAAAGTTGGGATTGAAGTAAGAAAAAACCAATGAGGAACCATGTTTAAAAATGGGGGGATAGAAGAGCACAAAGAAATATACAGAAAACACAGTGCAAATATACATAATTATGTATATATATATATACATGTTTAAAAAAAAAAATGTTGCTGAACATTGGGGACCCACATGATTTGACCAACGTTCGCTGGAAGCGGCAAAATCACCGGCACAATTTTCGCCGCCAAAGGAATGGGGAGAAGCAAATGGACCGTTCATCATTCATCTGGTACTTGATCACAACTATGGAAAACGGTCCATAGATGATTTATAGATGATTTATAGATGATTTATAGATGATTTATAGATGATTTATAGATGATTTATAGATGATTTATAGATGATTTATTTACCTACTTTTAAAAAATGGTCTATTCAAAATTGGCAGAGGCTATCTGCTAAGTATACGATTAGTGACATCATTTAAATGATGTACCCCCCTCTTTAAACGTTGACCATGAAAATCGCGTGGGATTGCCAATCCCGAGGGGCGAAGCAAGATTTTACCCTCGGGGGATTGTCATGTTCCGAGTGCAGAGCATTTTGGGAATGTCACTTGTATTTGTCATCATGAACCTACCAAATTTGGAAGTTGCCACTCTTTTGTATCAACCATAGAGTAAGAAGAAGGACATCCATGGCCACCTTGAACACGTATAATTGGCTGGGGTATAATTAGCCGGGGTATATCCCACTAATCTAATTATGTAAGTGGCTGATTTTCTTGTGGTTATTGCATTCACACGTGTCTATGTTAACCACTTAAGTGGGATTCACACCCAAGTGAGACCTGAAAGACTGATTGCTGGTTCTCTTGCATTGCTAGGTCCCCGAGCTGTTGCTTGACCCCCTCGCGCACGCACCTGTGGAGGTGTGATTCAGCATATCTTTACCGAACTTGGCAAATGCGGTACCCGAACGTCCTAAGTTTTCATTGGAAAAATGATACAGCAATGGAAGAACATTAGCACTGCTAGGCTAGGCTAAAGGAAAAATCATGAGATTTAATCCTCAGCTTCTCTAGGGTAGATTGGCTCTTGCTGCTCTCCATGAAACCGTGTATATCAAAATTGAAGACCTCAGCCCATCACGGCCCTACTCTGAGGTGAACATTGGTGAAATTCAGTATGAGGGGAGAACGGATATATGAATGATATATGTATATAATGTGTATATGTGTATATATATATGTGTGTGTGTGTGTGTTTTGGGAAAAGAAAAAACATCAAATGGCCACAAAAGTGGCACCCTGCTAAGCACCTTGCCCGAAATGGATAACATGAGCATGACTATCTCACAAAGCAAGAAGGCAGGTTACAAAATCTAATGCTTACACAGATGGGGACCGTAGGGACTTGTGGGCCTTCAGTCTTGGGCAACATTCTTAATCAATCATCAACCTGTGCAAATCCCCTGCTGTGAGCTACCCGTCACTTTTGTGATTTTACATGATCGTATATCAACTCAAAGACTCTGCTGTCGGCCATTTCCATGTACACTTTCCCTTGTTTACGTTGATATCTCAACACGACGTCCACAAACATGTGTGTACTATATGCAAACAGCAATATGTCAGAATTGGGTTCCTACTGGGTCGACTTTTCACGAATTGTACTTTGGCACGAAGCTGTGGTAAACATGAGGTATCAGGAAAAACTTTGCTCAAGCAAGGGAAACTCCGCCAGGAGAAAGTCGTTTTCGTTGTATTAGCGCTCTTGTATTCTCAAAATCTCTGATTTTCGGCATACGTCAGAGATGGTGATCATGATGCTTCAAGCCACGTTTCAAGGATAGTCCCGATTCTTGCAGAAACGGTCCTGAATGGATTAGAAACAAGCATTTTACGATTTCAGAAACATGTGTGCTTGAATTGTAGTCATGACCTGCAACGATTTTGAAATAGCTCTGCGCTTGTCACACAACTCAGTCCTTCAACAACGTAACATGGCCGTGGCACTTCGCTATGTGGCTGATATACCTGGATGTTATCGCTTTTTTCAAGGGCACCAGAGGTATCATCAACATCGCCAACTGGCCAATTCGATCACTTACCTTGTTTTTGGACACCAATCCAGATGTGTTTCACAATAAAACATCCACACATCAAAATGTGTTTTTTTTCCCGAAGAAAACACACAAAATCCACTGGCTAATCATCATGTTCCCGTAATTTTCCCATTAAAAAAGTGGTAAACTCCACCAGTTTTTAAGGGCCGCCTCTTCAGCCACCAGCTGCCAGACTCCTCCCGTTGAGTTGGCACCTCGGCAGCTTTTGATCCATATCTCCCGTTGTTTAAATGATATCTGTATCCAAGGTTATCACCATATTTAAATCGACATTTAAATCCATATCTATCGATATACATAGATATATATATATATATATACATATATATATATATACATATATATATATATATTATAAATATATATATATACATATATATATATACATATATATATTATAAATATATATATATACATATATATATATATACATACACACATTATATCCTACATTATAATATATTTACAGTATTTATTTAATTTATATATCTATCGATATTTATCGATCTTTCACCATATGGGGATGGGCCAAGTTACCTCTCTTGCCTTACCGGAGGAAGAGGCTCCATCCAGGACGCCACGCCGCTTCGACCACTCTTGCCCTGCAGCTCAGAGGCTCCCAGCAACCTGGGTGCAGCAACGTTGCAAGTTGGTCAAAAATATTGAGGATCCCATGGGAAAACCACGGGTTTTAACCCTGGAAAAACACTTGGAAAATATGGGAAAATATAGGACATGGCAAAACCATGGGAAAACCATTGAAAAATGTTGGGAAATATGGGAAAATCATGGGAAACCCATGGGAAAATCATGGGAAATTCCCGCACAACATGGAGGTTTCAATTTAGTGCGGAAATCATCAACTTGAGATATTTTCAGCCAGCCACCTTTGATTACCAGAGGGTATATCATATTTATTACGCAGTCATTCTTACATTTATTAGGTTTACCACATTACTGGCTAATAATTGGGAAAATATGATAACACATTGAAAACTGCTGGGGGGGTATCATATAATTTCCTATAATTTGAAACTGATGTCCCATTGACTATCCAGTTATTTCTTGGGATTATCATGGTATTTACCATGGTTTCCAATAACTTCCCAGTTCTTATTGAGTTTACTTCCCATTATGTAATGTAGGGTATACACCTAGTATGCACCCGAGAATAGGATGATGTTTGTCATGACCCCAAATGATTCCCATAGGTGGCACGGTTTATCATTGGGTTTACCGTACATAAATCGCCATAGTTGCAGACTTATATGCCAACCTTGAATCATTATTTCACGACGCTTCTTCAATATTCAAACACTCAAAGAAAAAAAACAGCAGAAGCATACAGCTTCGTTATACAAAAGATTGTTGGCATAGGGATAAGGAACACAGCAGAACTGGTTTGCCAAAATCTTCTGTGTTCCTTATCCCTATGACCCTGGCCCCATGGCCACTTCGCGGAAGCGTCGGATCGGGCGCCAGACACATCCTGCTGCTCCTCCAGTGGCAGTTTCCACAGCGCGCGCAGCCTAAACTGCTGGGAGTTCCATGGCATTTGGATAAGTTCAGCAACAAATTCCCATGGAAAATCATAGATTTCTATGGGATCAATGGATCTATAATAGATATTAATAGATTGGATGATTCTATAATACCCTCTGGTAAACGTTTACATAACTATTGGAAATCCACCCATTTTTCATGGGAAATTTCACTATAAATGAATGGTGAATTTCCATAGTTATGTTAAATTACCAGAGGGTAGATGATTCATAATCTCATCTATTAACCAAGAATCATCTATTAAACTCTATTATAACCCACTGATATCCACTGATCAGTTAATCAAGAAAATCCTCCCAGTTGGTTAACCGTCGAAATAACTAATTTTTGATTAATCCTGATAAGTTAACCAACAAATCGCAGTTAACCAACAAAATCCTAAAATATTCTGATGTTGGTTAACCAATTTCTGAATGAAACCAACCGGATATTCCTATGATTTAAACAACAAACTTCATGACGAAATTCCATGGGATTTTTTATGTAATGTGATGTAATGGGATTTTTCCATGTGCGTTTGGCAGGTCATCAGTGATTACATGTAAAATGTGAATTTGGGGTGTCTACTCCATCTTGCCATGTTGTGAACTCATGATCAAGTATGTATGGCAATGTATGGAGTAATATGTGCGTTTGTTCAAGTTGGGTATACACACCACAATGGAACTTCAATCAGGGAAAATGATCAGAAAAAATCATAAACCCTGGGATTTCGGGTGGCCCACATTTTCAGACAAAATCCATACAGTCAAAATGTGAAGTGATCAATGATGTATGGGGTACTGTAATATTGATGAACACCTGAAAACCAGGGATAGGAATGGATTGCATCCTTGTTTTACTTCTGGATAATCCTGCCGAGGAGTACGTATAAACCCGTTTGGAGCAATTTAGCGCCAGGACTACCGTAGAAATTTTAACTGGAATCGTTCATGAATAGGGGATTTCAGCTAACCTGGGTGCTAATATGGGGATATTATCCATTTGCCAACCCAATAAGAACAACAAAGATTTCCTACCTTTCGAGGTGTTTTACACCGTGAGAAAGTGGGTTCTTAGCATTATCATTGTTGGCTTCCCACATGACTGGTGTGATTTCACTGCATTGAATTTGCATATAGCCCTAGTTCAGGGATGTTACGTGTATGACTAACCCGAAACTGGTAGGGGAGCAAGACTGTATGGGTGCCGCTGGGAAGGGGGACGGAAAAGCGCTGTCCATAGAAATTACAATTCCCTGAATAATCTGAATATGGGTTCCGACCATGGATTATGATCATATTGATCATCTCCAACAAAAATTGGTTAGTATAACTCGGTATAGCCCCGATACTTCTCAACGTGCCTCGAAAATGCGGCGGAACCATTGATTCCATCCCCTCCGGAACATGATTTAAAAAAAAAACGCACCACTGTTGAAAGATTAGTATACAGTAACTGTTTATTGATCCCATGAATGATGCTTAATCAACATCATGGCTATATAATCCCAGTAGTAGTGGTTGATTAATATTACAATTCCAGTAGTGACGGTTGATTCATGTTACACTTCCAGTAGTAGTGGTTGATTGATATTAACTTTTACATACTTTTACCAAATTTTAACTTTTAACATTAGTATTCCACGTACGGGAATCGCATCAAATTTATTCCGTTTCCCTACAGTATGATGGTCAAAATGATAAATATTTTTTTTGATAGTGGTATTATGGTAAACCCATGTACCCTCTGGTAAACTAACATAGCTATGGAAAATCACCATTTTTAATGGGTAAATCCACTAGAAATGGCAATTTTCAATAGTTATGTAACAAATTACCAGAGGGTAAACCCAATAACAAACATTGACAAAGCATAGAAAATCTCTAAACCGTCCCTAAAAATCCACCATTAAAAATGGCTGGCGCAAGGAACAACTCCGCCGGAAAGGGCTGCAGCGCGATGCGTTGCACTTCCCCAACCAAGCGATCGACCTGCGGGGTCATAGATTTTTCATGGCAATGGGTGGGATTTCATGGGCGTTTCATTATAGCCATTAAATGGGATTTCATGGAATATAAATGGTAGTTTCGTGGAATTTAATGTTTTTTATTTGCGAACCTCTACAAGGTGGCCACCCAAACTATAAGTAAGTCGGTTTAATTCAGTAGGTCAACTATGTTTTATGGATTTTTATGGTAGATATTGGTAGATATAACAGGATATTCCACATGATATTCCACATGATCGTCGGCATTACAAAACTCATCAAAACTCTCCATGGGGGGTAGCCAACTTACAACTGGGGTCCCATCATCAATTTATCGGATCTTTCGTGTCGGCGCAATTCGGCGTGTCGGCCAACATGTTTTCAAGCAAAGAAATGAAGACCCACAGACCCAAAAAACAACGACAGTGTTCGGGGCCCTTCTAAGGGTGAAACATGTGATAGTCATAAGATTATTGGAATGCAACTGCTCAAAAATGCTATCAGTCACAGCATTTTCTGCGCTAAAGGCGTGAAATTTCGGCAGGGTCGTGGCAAGTGCCATCCCAAAACGGACTGCCTCAGCTTGCAACCACTCAGCTGTAGTATCAGCTGGGGCTTTCGCCTCCAACTTTGGGCCTAGCGTGGATGGATCACCCATGGCTTCCCCAGTTGGGCTTCGTCCCGCTTCAGGACCCCCAAAAAGTCAGTCAAGGAACGAACCACCTCCAGATCTGTACCGCTCCAACCATTTTTTGGGTATGGTTCAAGACCCCCAAGACCCCAAGTGTCCTGGTGAACACTCAAATCGCCAATGGAATTGTCTGAAAATAGTCGGTATACCCCCCAAATGAAACCGGCAAAAATACGGGAACTGATGAATCATTGGATTTTGGGGCAAATTGTCACTTTTCCCCTTCATGTTCAGGTACCAAGCCCCCATGGGTTCATCTTCATTGCCGCAATCTCCGCCTGGTGCCGTGAGCACCTCCGGCGGGAGGTCTTTCTTTGGCCGTGTTGCAGGCTTCTTCGGCTTCTTCTCTGCCTATGTCGGTAACAGCTTGGAACACCACCAAAAAAAAAAACGAAACGACCCCGGACGAAAGGTCATCTAGATGGGAAAGTCATTGACCTGCAAATGGTACAGGATGGTGCCCCCCAGTTATAAGTTGCTTTATAATCCCATTCACTATAGATATATCTACCATAAGTCCTAGTGAAATTAGAGTTATAAACCAACTGAACGCTATCTTGGGGGCACCACATTGTATGTACTTTAAATATCTTTACTGGTCATCTTAATGGGATTTCTCCATTGCCATGATGACCGGCGAACTGTTCAGTTGCAAAATTCCGCAAAACATGGACTTTATGGACCCCCAGAGTCAGATGGAAAGGTCGAACTTACCGCTATGTACAAATCTATTTTTGTGAAGTAGATTTTATGCCTATCATTGCCTATCTATCTTTTTTATTCTTTTTTGGGGCCAAAACATATCAAGGATGGCACTGGATGGCATCTCAACTTAACCGCGCCTTGAGTGTCTTCGTAGCAGCCGGGGGACTGGCACAGCTATGACCAGCTATGAAGAAACATGGCTGTGTCAGTGACATTACCTCCCAAATTCCCACTTCAGTAGGAAAAATTGTGATTTTCAGTGGATCTTCGGTGTTCCGCAAGATTTTCACCCCCACGTGGCAACTGAACAGGACTTGGCACCTCACTCATCAGAGCTGGTGCCCACGACCCGACATATCATCCCTTGAAAAACTGAGCTGGTGCCCTGGGATTCTCATCAATCGCCGATCGCCAATTTTTACCAGGTGGTCTACTCAAGCAGAATGAGAACAGTTGGGGCCCAGTTGGGGTTGTATATTCTAATATCATCTATCATAATATTCATAAATCATAATTCTTCAAAATGGCTTTCCACAATGCCCTGTATAAATCAAAAACGGTTTGGCTTCATAGATCATTGCGATGAATACGATCGTATAACATTACCATCTGGTTATGACTAACATAGCCATGGGTATAAATGGGTCATTTCCCATGGCTATGTTAGTCATAACCAGAGGGTAGTTCCATTTGGTGTACGACGGAAAAACCAAGTTAACTTGGCGACCTGCTCTCTTCGCCAAAGGCGGCACGCAGAGCCGCCTTGGAAGTAAGGACCATCGGGGATAGTCCATAGACTAGCCAACAATATTAAGTTTGGTTTGTCCAAAAATGGGGGTACCCACGATATCGCCATTAAGAAATGGGGAAAGGATGTTTCAAACCACGGGATTTGCTTTATTTTTGGCAAAATTGTCCAACAAACCCATCATGTATATTGCGGATTTTCTTGGACCAGGTGTTGATGGTGCAAGAGTTTTCATCTTGATGCAGTGAAACAGATAAGAAATGGCTGTAATTTTGGACTCCAGACTTATACAATCAGTTGGTCAATTGGATTTCTTCCATGATGCTATCATGGCATGGAAGGCCAAGAAAGATACCAAAATACCCATCCGTTTTTGTACAACGGTTGAACGTAAGAACGGCGTCGCTAAAGAACTCGTCATCATCCCCAATAAACCATTCTCGTCCAACTCAACCATGAGAATCAGTTGGGTTTGTATATATCTATTCTGATATCCCTGTTGTTATCATAGATGTTAGATGCTATTAGGCAGGATAACCATCTGAACCATTAAAACATACTAAAAATACTTGGTTGATAGGTGTCCCAATCCTATGGCCCTATGGCTTATTGAAAATCCCCAATCACCCGCTGAGCAAACCAAACCCAGGCGGCGGCTTCTTCATCCTGCCATAGCTGCCATGTTGGGATTGATCATGATGAAATGACGTTGCAGGATTGTTGATGAAGAAAGCTAGTTGAAAAAAATAAATTGATTAATAGTTGATTAATAGTTGGGATATATATATATATGGTTATATTTATTTGTTTATTCATTCATTCATTCATTCATTTATTTATATGACAGGTTGGAGATCTGTATATAGAGCCATTGTTTTAATGAATTAGCAACCTTTCCCAAAGGAACAGTTTCGTGGTAAACTCCCCCATGACTGGTTGCTGTCCACCAAAGCTTCCCCCAACGCTATGAAAATGTGCTCATTCAATTGCCAAGAAAAAAAAATATACGTATTATATATTACTATATTATATATATATCATATGATATATCATATTATATCGACCTATCCAAGCAGGTTGAATAGAAAATTCATGTATAGCAACCCCCAAAAAAAATAGAACAGTGTTTCAAAGGTGTTGCAAATTACATATTTACTTCATATGTCCAGGTTTCTCACTTTTCTACCGGGAGTTGCACCTCCTCCATCTCAAAGGCAGCCGGCGGGCTGCGATCAATGGCTCAAAATTGGACGGTCCTTGAAACTTGCTTAGAAATGCCATGGTTTATTGGAAAATCCTATGAAAATATATGATTTGGTAGTACCCCCATGACTTAGAAACCTCCAAATCATGCTCCAGAATATAAATCATCGATTTCGCACATCTCGAAGGTGCAGCAATTGCCTCAATCACAAAAATTCTACAACTGCAGATTGAAATTCTGTCCGGAAATATCCGGAAGTCATGTTCTTCTTGTCAAATAGTGGATGACTGAAGTACAAGAATCATTGACGCTTGGTGATGTTCTCCGAGTCACAGCTTGATCCAATCTGCGCAGATTGGAAGCCCACGAGATCCACCCAGGAGACTAACATTCCCATGGATGATTCGAAAAATCCGGGGTCGCCATGTTTGATTACCAAAGCATATACACCAAACATCACCAAACTGTCAAAACCAAGCAGTCGCAAAGATTACCAAAGATGAGATTGAACTCGTTCAATGTTTTTGTGTCGAGTGATTGGCATGTCTGAAAATGTGTTGTTGCCCCAATTTGCGCGTGCCCCAGGTTGAATCAGGATCCATACGGACATGACCAGACAGCGCCGCCAGCGCATTTTTTCTGGCGACATGGGGAGGTTCTGGTCGTTTTTGAGAGTGATAGGATACAACTACGTGGGTCTGTCCCAAAAATTTGCTGGGACCCTCATCGTTTGGCAATTCGTCAGTTATTCTGCATGAGGCCCTCCAAATTCTTGGGGTGTCCCCCAGCTTTACAACCGAAACAGCGGCCGCGGTTGCGGCGGAGTCTGTGGGAAGTCCTTGGGATAGCCCGAGAGCCTCGACTCCCTTGGCTCCCTTGGCTCCTTTGGTTCCATCTCCACCTTCGGCTTGGCCAGGGGCGCCTGCATCAGGTGTCCCATTTTGTTCACCAATTGTGGACTGGACGATGACCTCTGTGGTGTCTGTGTCACTTTGGGCGCTGGACTGGGCGCTGGACTGGGCGCTGGACTGGGCGCTGGTGGTCGAATCAGCACGGCCTGCGACCGGTTGCCAACCTCCTTCGAAATGGCTGGGCTGAGGGCGGCAATGGCCTTGCCGGTCAAATCCTCCAGGGACGACAACTCCTATCGTAGGCTGCCGATGATGCGCTCCCGTTCACGGATGGCAGAGTCCAACAGCGTCCAACAGGCTGAGCTTTCTGGCCAGGCGGGGTGGGACATAGGCACCAGGAATGCGGAGGGTCACATGGTCTGTTCAGAGCTTACGGATCAAATTGAGAGATTGAAGGTATGATGCCTAAGAAGGTGTGTGCCCAGTCTGTGCAGGTAAAGATGCTGGCTCCTTGGTGAGCAAATTCTGGTGGATGCACTTTTTCCGGAAGTCTAAGTTTGCAAGACAGCTTGTTATGAAATGAAATTGAATCATCTGATTGCCGAACTATTTGGATTGTCATTTGAAATTGAACAATCAAAGATGTATTGCTATTGCTGAGCTTTGCGTTGCTTGCGCTGTTGCTTAAATTCTCCAATCAACTGCCAATTCTCGTTCAGATCAAGTTCGCATCACGGCCAGAGCTGGAACTGCACCTGTTTGGTGCTTGAGCCTCGAAAAAAAAATGGTCATTGGATTGGGATATCCCGGGGACGGAAACGCGGCTAGCTCTCATATGCCAGGACCTGGGGCCCCAGGTCTGTTTCAGAGCATTGTGTCACCCTCAAGGCACTTCGCAGTGCAAAGCATCAAGGTAGAAGATCAGGAGTTGAAGCAGATATGGCTATGGATCAACAAAAAGAACTGAAAATTTAGGAATCGTTGTCACACATTGATCCATCCCCATATCGGACCACCAGGATAGGTTGCAATGGCGCTCTTTTGCCGCACGGTTCTCTGTTTGGCGCCCCCGCAGTGTGCAGCAATGGCAAGGCGGCTATGGAATGGTTGGAATATGTTGGAACTTTTTGGGTTCAAGAGCTATTACCCTCTGGTAATTTAACAATATTTAACAGTTTGCTATTGAAAATTAACTAGTGGATTTTCCCATTAAAAATGGGTGGATCTTTCCATAGTTATGTTAGTTTACCAGAGGGTAACCCCATACAACCGCTTGGTACAACCTCATGCGTTGTCAAGCGACCAAGAACTTGAACGATGTTTGGGTTTTCAACAGTGGGAGATACCCCAAAAGGCCAAGGGTATTGCGAACATGATGACCAAGGCAATTTTCATGTGGTAGAAAGATGATGATACATAAGTGGATTTTTGGGGAACCCAGGAACCCAACAATCCTACCTATATTACCACGTGTTTCTTGACCCAGTCTTCGTTGTCGCCTCTGCCTGCCGCGCCAAATTAAACATTCACGGAGGATTCTCTCCAACGGAGACAAGTCAACGATCACACCGGGAGAAATCCAAGCTGAATTATGATTCTCCATCTCCACTCTGGAAGCGAAAATAGCCATTTTCCTAACCTAACAGTCCATCAGCCAACCACCCAGAATACCCTGCCAAAACACGTAGCTGGTAGGTTTGAATATCCCCATTGAAATGGCAATTTAGATGAAGTCATACTAAACCACCAATCCAGTTGGTGGACCCAGCAAAAGAAGATGGCGAACGTCCGGCACTGCCAATTATGCAAACCACTCAGGTTCCGGACCTGCGCGACTTGTCTGAAAACTTGGTATACCCCCAAGTTGTGGCAATGGACAATTCCAAAGGGTGCTTTATATGTGTATATACATGTATAAATATATATATATATATACATACACATACAATATATATATAATTATATATATATATATGTCTCTCAATATAATATACAAAGATAAAGATGTCACCCCAACGAATATACCTGTCACCTGGCCATGGAGACTCCCTCTTCCATACTGGATCTCCACCAGTCAAACCTGAACCTCGCAGCTGCGCAGCTCAGCTCGCCTAATTGAAATGCAACTTCCACTGCAGTCATGTACATGCAGCCGGCCTCAGCATGCGCTGCCGGGGGCCCCGAGCCAAACCGGGTTTTACCAGGATCCCCAATTTGAGGTTTGAAGCGCTACAGGCGCTACATAGGACACAAAAAAAAAGGCGAAGTCGTTTCCAACAACAGAGAAATACCTTTTTTGACAGCTTCTTTCGCTGGGCTCAGGGGGTGTCTGTCATCTTCGACAATAAAGTTGGCCGTGCCGGGGATGATTGGGAAAGTCCGAATTCACTGTTGCTATATCAAGAATGAACATGGGGAGTAAGTCTCAAACTAGGGGTCCAAGATGAAATGATATACCATCACCTATAAATTTGATCGTTTCAAGTTTCAAGTTGAGCATTCTTTGTCAACCATCCGGGAATATCTTCGAGCCATAACCACCTGACAAACACTTCCATGTTATACTCGGAAGAGTCTACCAGTAGGTTGCACCCTCCTGTTCACACGCTTCGAAGACAGGGTAGACCTTCTATTTTCAGTTTGTTTCAATCCGCATGTATAAATTGGTTGAAACCCCATCTCTGACCATTGGTGAGTTGGTGAGTTCCTGATATCTCCCCATCCTTGCCAGCTCTTGCCAGCACTCCAAAGCCTGTCCAAACATGCCCAGACTAGGGGAAAAAGGTACTGTTACCCTGGAAAACCCCTGAAAACCCTATGTTTGGCTTGTATATATCTCCACGTGTGAATTTCTCCGCAACTAAACCACTGAAAGTCACTTTAAAACTGTTGTTTTTTCGGTTGGTTCGGCTCCCATGTTCAATCCGTCCCTCCATCCCGCGGGGTCAAAGCTCTTGGGCTCCCTGACAGCCAGAGCACTCATTGCCAGCCGTCGGCCGAAACTCTTCAGAGTCTGCTGAACGAATCCACCTGAGTGGCTTTCGGGTGCTGCCACTGATCCCTGCAAAATAGTGCTCATCTTTAGCTGCTTAGTCGATTTGTCCTATGTATATGGATGTATATGGAAAAAATGGCAACATATGGCAACAAGAACCAAACCACTCACCTACGGTTAACAAAGATTGGCGGAATGGAGCCAAATATCTGGATGACAGCCAAGTTGCTGAGCAACTCAACCAATGGGAGTTGATTGGGATTGAAAACACCTGTAGCCGGGTAGTATGATAATTGTAGGCACATTGCTGGGATATCAAGAACTGGAGTAAGACTCGCACGCGAGAGATTGTTCTCCAAACCCTACTTTTCCCGTTGCGTGCAAATGTTCAATTCATGCAACACCCCTACAATCACACATCAAACCCAAGAATTGCCACCGAAAAATGTGAGTGTGTGTGTATATATATATAATATGTATTATAGAAATTGGTCAACATCCTCTGCCAAAACCCATTCTGGTTGGTGTCGGATGCGAACTTTTCAGGGCTCCACTGAAATCCCAAACCCCTCAGCTCCCGGCCCAGCGCTGCGCGCTTCGGCTCCGCCCCCGGAGG